AGTGACTGTACAGACAGCTGGGCCAATGAATTAATGGAAAATGTATAAGTACATTGGTGGCACAATGAATGGAAGTGTGAATGGGTGGGCACTTGGATGGATATGAAAAGATACACATATGGGTGGCTAGATATATGAATAAACAATGGAATGAGTAAATACATAACTAATACTGACATTCGGTGTAAACATTAGTTGATGGATAAACCAAACAATATATGTAAAGCACCTAGAGAAGATACACAGTAAATAAGGTTACTGATATATGTTCATAGTTGGCATACTAAGATTGATCATATATTGCCTGATCCTCACAAGGGACATAAATTAACACCAAAATGCATAAACAAAGAAAGAGTAAGTAATTGAGAATACAAGTACTACTTCACAAAGCGCTGTACAGATATTTAAAGCTCTGCTGAGGATCTCAGAATCACTGAGGATCTATTGCTCTTCTCTAATTGGCTCACTTTTTTCCTCTAGTTCAGAGAAAATTGAAAAAAAAAAGATCTAGGAAAAGGCAAACTAGGTTTAAAAAGGACAAGGTTATTGTCCTTTTTTTTCATTGGTATTATTAATCATGATGATAGACTGGTCTTGTGATCTCAGTGACATGATAATAAAAAGAAGACATGGGCAAATAGATGACTGATAGCCTCTCTGGTATGATCAATGATTTGTACAAAAATATACATATGCAAGTGCAAGTCACACAGTGTGGGAACACAAAGGAGAGAAGAACCAGTTTTACCTAAATAGCTACTACAGGCTAGATACGGAGTGTTCTATGCAATTCAAGCCCCAAAACAAATGCTGATCAGAAGACTATATCATTCTCATTTCATGGAAAGCCCAAGAATCAGCAACTTAAGTATATGGGAAAAAAGACCTCAGACAGGTTTGTTGACTCCAATGCCATCTCTCCCCCGTCCCTAGCAAGATAAACTTAGGGTTACATTAGGGTGGTAGAGGCCTTCAGAATCAGTCTATGCAATACATAAATACACTTTCTCTATCCTCAGATGTGCAGTTTCCTCTTTGGATATGAGTCCGTGGTTGTTTCTGAGAAACTCTTATCTCTGACCATGTAATTAACCTAGGGTTGTCCTCTTAACTCTCCTAGAAATAACCACATACCTCATGCCTGGCTGGTCATCATGGGGCCTTATATTTTTTGTTCACAGTGCACGTCCCAAGTGTAGACATTTAATTCACATCAGCACAATAGATGTCAGCATCACTAAGAATTATTGAAAATTTCCTCTCTCCTCTTTTCTCCTTACTCTTCCTTCTTCCTCCACTTGTTCCTCTCTCTTTCTCTTTTTTACTATCTCTCGGTATGTATTGGTGTCTGTCTGTATGTCTGTATGTCTCTATCTCTCTATCTGTTTCTGTCTCTCTATCTCTGCCCCCACCTCTGATGTCTGAGTAATAGACTAAGCATAGCACAGTAGATCCTCAGTAGGGTCCACAGAGGCCAACATGAAAGGGACTGGATCCAAGGCATAGAGATATTTTCCAATGGCAAATTCTGAACACCTAGATTCATTCAAGTTCAGAGCCAGCAACTTCCAATTTTTTTTTTTTGGTTTTGTTCAGGTGTTTTTGAATTGAGTTTTGTCACAAGCAACAAGGAGTCCTACTAATACAAACTGACACTGGAAATAATTTGAGCTCAATTTCAGCGTATACCTATGCTGCCAACAAATAACTCGGGAGTCATAAAATGGAGGAGTTCCAGACCAGACAGAAGACTTACATAAACAGTGCAGGCCATCAAGGCCCAGCCAATGAGACTGGATTTCTAGGACATATCAAATCCTAGATAGGAACTAAAGTACCAGATTTTGAAAGAAGAGGGACAAGACCTCAGATGGTACCATATCCCAGAGGCAAAGGAGACTACAACCCAGAGTTTAGTCCTGCCTTATACACGCCATGTTCATAAGCAGAAAGACTTCAGCAGATGGTTTGACAATTTCTGTTCATGCTCAGCTCCTAAATTCCAAGAGATGCAGATGCCTCCTTGTGATAAGAAGGAAGGGGCAGAAGGAGAAGGCTGCAGACTGAGGAGATACCCAAACAGCACAAGATGTAGAAAATGACTTTAGGGCCAATATTTCTCAAATACTCCCTCTAAAACACATATGACATGGGTTCAACAGGAAGGATGTGGTGAGCAAGATTTTATGGTAAGGCTGAACTGAACCTTCCAGGTAGATGTGCAGCATGGCATTCTGGGGTCTGACCATGATGATGACAGTCGTCAGTGATGTTGGTCATGGTGGTGGTAGAAGCAATGACAAGATGATGGTGGTTGTGCTAAACTAGTAACAGTAAGCATGGCAAGGTGATGTTCAAAGAGTGGTTGGTAGTCATCATCTCTCACATGTTACTTAGGGTCCAGGCATTGTATTGGAGCCATTATTTCACACAGCCATACTATGAAATAGGCATTATCAGCCCCATTAAATGTGTTGTATCTAGGCAAACAGACCCATAAGTATCTGGCTTAACAACCAATGTTCTTGGCTACTGTATTCTCCTTCCACTTGGGCATTCCAGAAGTATCCCATCCATCCCTTTCAGTGCATTTTGCACCCACCATCCTGAGCTTTACAAATAGTTCTGTTTCTATATTCTCTAAGATCATGGAGGTTTTCAACACACAACCCCCTAGAGTTTTGGTTTACAATATTTCAAATAAGAGAACTTTTCATCAGAATATTTTGTGAATTCCTATTTGTGTATACTTGTTTTCAAAAGTATCATTGACTGAAAAAGCACATTAAAAATAGTAGCTTGTATGACATAGTCAATACTATGTCATGTAGCACAAAATCTATGAGATTTGATCACAATAGCATTTACCTGCATTTGTAAAGTTGTTAGTTTTCCTTCCACGTTATAACATAATTATTGCCAAAACTAAGATGTCATGTACATAGGGACTGACCAACTAATAAAAGTGGTTGGAAGGCCAGCCACCATAGGAAGTTTTTTCTTTGGGATGTTTCTGGGGCAACTGTGAAAACAGACGGCACTGACATTAGAGAATATCCATGGTGGACACTTGGCTAACCCAACAATGTGTTAGACCTGGAAACATCATTGTTCTCATCCTATCTAGAGCTATTGAGGCTGATGTGGCAAATATGACCAGACAGTGGCACATTCATTTCAGATCATCTGTTAGCAAACTATGTGCTCATGGTCCCACCACTAACCCTGCAAAAATAGGGCCTTCTTACCTTAGTAACAGCCATGGGCTAAATCTCCTTGGATCCTTTCAAGTTTCAGTGCCTGGAGCTATTTATGCCCTTGCATAAGGTGTATTTCTCCTATCTGTCTTACTTATAATCTCCTGCTATTCATCATAAGAAATAACCAGTGTGTTAAAGTGCAATGAAAAACTTCAAAATGAGATTTTTCAAAACATAATGTTCTACCAAGCACTCATCAATAACAGCCCTGCCTTGTGGAATCAGTGACAACGTCCATCATCTTTTTGCAAATCCAATCTGTGTATCAAAGAGCAATCTATGTTTTTCAAACAGCAGTTTCAACTCTTTAGATTCTAGCCCAATTTCCCTTTCCCACAGTTAACATGGATGTGGAGTTGCCTAGAACCTACCCTGTCTCTCTACTAGAATATCCTATACAATTAAAATGCACCCTTCACAGAGGGCCCCGGGCAACAGTTTTCTCAAGGGTTGAAAAAAACAAAACAAAAACACAAGGTTTAAAGTTTTCCAGTTCTTTTCATCAAAACCCTAGGTCAAATATTTCTGATTCACTCTTGAACCCATCAACAAATTGCTGATATAACCAGGCAGACCGGGGCTGTTCAAACATGCCCACAGTAGACTACAGACAGACACTAAAAGTAAATGTTCAGAAATTTAAAATTTTTATAAAATTAGTGTCCTTTCCCATAAACATATTTGCAGTATTTTTTTTTTGTATGCGAAGGTATTGATCCACTAAGATGGAGATGGGGAAATTATTCCTTTGTTACAAGTAGTTTGAAAGGTACAGATAAGAGACACACACCGAGTTGTAACATGGTGGAACATTTTCATATCATGGTGGTACAAATATGATGTTTAATTAATTCAATATATGTTCATTGGACATTACATAAAGTGATAGGAACTGTGGATTCAGACTGCATGATTTAAAATTCTGTTTCTGTGTCTGGGATATACTCACTTATATAGACCTATAAGATATGATAAACATAATGAAATCTGTACACCTAAAAAAAAAATAATCAAGAGAGCAGACATGGGGTAAGATGATCAATCCTCGTTTAGAAAGACAGATGGGATGTGCATTGAACATATAACAGGAGTCTACTGAGCGCATTTGAAAGACTCTAAATAGCAGTGTTTTCAAAGCAAAGACTCATGACCAAACCTTTGGCAGAGTACAGGGAATCATAAGAAAGAAGGGGAGTTAGTCTGATGAGGAAAGGATAGGAGCTCCACAAGGACCAAATATATCTGGGCACAGGGTCTTTTCTGAGACTGACATGCAACCAAGGACCATGTAGGGATATAACCTAGAACCTCTGCTCAGATGTAGCCTGTGGTAGCTCAGTAACCAATTGGTTTCCCATAGTGAGGGGAACAAGGACTATTTCTAACAGGAACTCAATGACTGGCTCTTTGGCCTCCCCACCCCCCAAGGGAGGAGCAGTCCTGTGAGGCCACAGAGGAGAGCTTTGCAAACAGTCCTGAAGATACCTGATAAAACAGGATCAGATGAATGGGGAGGAGGTCCCCCCTTATCAGTGGACTTGGCAAGGGGCACGGTGGAGATGAGGGAGGGAGGGAGAGACGGGGAGGGAATGAGGGATCGGGACATGGCTGGGACACAGAGTTAATAAAATGTAACTGATCGTCTCCAGCTTGTCACGTAGAGGCACGGTGGTGTTTGAGCCTCTCTTGCACACGGGGTCCCCGCGTCCTGCCTCCCAGCGCCTGCCTGCAGAGAAGATGTCGCATCCATCCCTGGCGGCCAAGCCCTCCAGCCCCCAGAACCCGCGGGTCTTCTTTGACGTAGACATCGGAGGGGAGCGAGTTGGCCGAATTGTTTTAGAATTGTTTGCAGATATTGTTCCCAAAACTGCAGAAAATTTTCGTGTGCTGTGTACAGGAGAAAAAGGCACTGGCTCCACAACTGGGAAAGCGCTCCATTTTAAAGGATGCCCTTTCCACCGAATTATTAAGAAATTTATGATTCAAGGTGGAGACTTCTCAAATCATAATGGTACAGGTGGAGAAAGTATTTATGGTGAAAAATTTGAAGATGAAAATTTTCATTATAAGCATGACCGGGAGGGTTTGCTGAGTATGGCAAATGCAGGCCCCAATACAAATGGTTCTCAGTTCTTTATCACAACAGTTCCAACTCCTCATCTGGATGGGAAACATGTGGTATTTGGTCAAGTAATTAAAGGACTAGGTGTGACAAGGATGCTTGAAAATGTAGAAGTGAATGGTGAAAAACCTGCCAAACTGTGTGTTATTGCAGAATGTGGAGAATTGAAAGAAGGGGATGATTGGGGAATATTCCCCAAAGATGGCTCTGGTGATAATCATCCAGATTTCCCCGAAGATGCAGATATAGATTTAAAAGATGTAGACAAAATTTTATTAATAGCTGAAGACTTAAAAAACATTGGAAATACTTTTTTCAAGTCTCAGAACTGGGAGATGGCTATTAAAAAATATGTGAAAGTATTAAGGTACATGGATAGTTCGAAGGTTGTTATTGAGAAAGCAGATCTATCCAGACTGCAACCTATAGCCTTAAGTTGTGTGCTGAATATTGGTGCTTGTAAACTGAAGATGTCAGATTGGCAGGGAGCAATTGACAGTTGTTTGGAGGCTCTTGAGATGGACCCGTCAAATACCAAAGCACTATACCGCAAAGCACAAGGATGGCAAGGATTAAAAGAATATGATCAAGCATTGGCCGATCTTAAGAAGGCGCAGGAGACAGCCCCAGGAGACAAAGCTATCCAGGCAGAAATACTTAAAGTCAAACAAATGATAAAGGCACAGAAAGACAAAGAGAAGGCACTGTATGCAAAAATGTTTGCTTAATAAGGATTCGACTTTGCTTAAATATGCATTGATTATATAAAAGATAATGTAAGTTACTGTCTGATCCTTGATGTTTCCCTTGATTCTTTGTCATTGTTTACATAGAATTGTTGACAGATTCCTTCTTAATAAAGTGTTATGAAATACAGTGACTCTCATTTTAAAAGTGCATTTTCATCAAGAGTGGTATCTGGCCAATGTTTAAACTGTAAATTTAGAGTCTCACTAAGTTGTATGCTTTGTGGACCACCTTAGTTCTCAACTTGTGGGTCCGTTGGTTTGTAACAGTATCAAAATTATAGTTATGACGTAGCAACAAAGTAATTTTATGGTTGGGGTTCACCACAACATGGGGAACTGTACTAAAGGTTGCAAAGGTTGAGAACCACTGATATAACCTGTCACAATTATGTGTGTAACCAGTGGGCATGGCTATGTTTCAATAAAACTTCGTTAAGTGTTGAAAAAAATAAAATAAAATAAAATAAAATGTAACTGATAAGAAAAAAATAAAATTCAAAAAATAAAATAAAATAAAATTCTGTTTCTGCACTTACCAACTCAGTAACCTTATCCAAATTTCTCAATTATTCTTTGACTGTATCTTTAAAAGATGGGTACAATAAAACAACACAGTTCTTGTAAACACAATGCTCATTCACATGTATATAACACAGAGAAGAGAGGCTAGAGAGAAAGAACACTGTGTATGGAGTAAAGTACAAGAACACCCATGGTGAGTAAAGAATTATATGCAGAATGCTAAAAAGTTCTGTGCCCTACAGGCTAAGAGAGTATGATCCAAGAAAGAATCTAAGAAACAAGGGAGATAGATAGAGCAAAGCCAGATGCTAGGCAACTTCAAAAGCTTTCATAGAGGTTACCTCTTCCAATGAGAAATAGTGTTCCAGCACTCCGCTAGAACCAGCATCACACTGAAGTCTATGAATGTCATGTATATCCTAGCCAGTTTTCTTGTTTCTGTGATAAAATACCCAGACAAAAACAACTTAATGAATACAGGTTTTATTTAGCTCATAGTTCTAGGATACAGTCCATCATGGTGGAAAAACTCTAGTATCTGGAGCTTGACATCACAGCCACAATCAGAAGAAAAGAATAATGACTGCTTGTACTCAGCTTGTTCTTATTTATTTTTCTTTTCCTTTTTTGTTTGTTTGTTTGCTTGCTTGCTTGCTTGCTTTCTTATTTTTTGTACAATCCAGAATCCCAGCCTAGGGAATGGTGCTACTTACAGTAGACAGCAACTCCCATCTTATTTAACCTAATCCAGATAATTCACCACAGGCACGTTTTTCAAGTGATTCTGGATCTCATCTATTAGAAAATTGATATTACCCATTACAGAATATGATCAAGATGATGGTGGCAGGCACAACAGACTCTGCCTGGAAGACCTAGAGAGTCCCTGCAGCTTCACTGAAGATCTGTTGAGCACAATATGGTGAATCAAGCACTTTTTCCAGAGCATAGTAGAGTTAGAGGTATCCATAAGGCATCCTTCCTCTTAGTTCTGACAATTCCACCCTTATCACTTGTCTAACTAACCCTTTATTCTCTGCTTTAGATGTTTTCCTCCAAGATCTTTAGTAGATTTATGAACTTTTTATTTAGTCAATCATTTAAAACTCTTTCATCGTATAGGCACACTAGTAACGGCCTTCTTGCATCACATAGTCACCTACATAAAAACAACTGTTCCATCATTTTGTGATCGCATATTTACTAGCATGTCTTTTCTACTAGACTGTAACATCTTTAAGACAAAAAGTCTATATTAAATTCATGTGTCTCTACTTAGGTATGGAAGTTCATGCCTGTAATCCCAACACTCAGAAGGCTGAAGCAGGACAGTTATAAATTTGCAGCCAACATGGGTTACACACTGAATTAGAGGTTATCCTGGGCTATCTTGCAAGACCTTAGCTAAGGGGGAAGGGCAAGAAAAGTTGTCCTCTAGAACAGAGCCTGCTGTTCATTAAATGTCAGCTGACTGATGTAACAAATATGATGAATAAGAAAATAACATATTTGTACAGGCCATCATAAGCTATACATGTAGACTCATACAAGAGTTGACAGAGGATGGGGGCGAAAGGCTCTACCCTACTAGGCAGACGCTGAGACTCATAGCCAAACTTTGGGCAGAGTGCAGGGAATCTTATGAAGGAAGAGGGAGATAGTAAGACCTGGAGAGGACAGGAGCTCCACAAGGACAGCAACAGATCCAAAAAGTCTGGGCACAGGGATCTTTCTGAAACTTATACTCCAACCAAGGACCACTCATAAAGATGGCCTGGAACCCCTGCATGGAGGTAGCCTAGGGCAGTTCAGTGTCCAAGTGACCTCCATAGTAATGGGGACAGGGACTGTCTCTGACATGAACTTATTGGCCTGCTCTTTGATCACCTCCCCCTGAGGGGGGAGCAGCCTTAGCAGGCCACAGAAGAAGACAATGCAGCCACTTCTGATGAGACCTGATAGACTAGGATCAGAGGGAAGGGGAGGGGGACCTCCGTTATCAGTGGACTGGGGGAGGAGCACGGGTGGAGAAGAGGGAGGGAGTATGGGATTGGGAGGGGAGAAGAGAGGGAGCTACAGGGGGGGATACAAAGTAAATAAATGCAATTAATAAAAATAAAAGTAAATTTAAAAAAAAGAAGCAGGAAATATAGCCCATGTCAGAGATATCACCCCTAACTAGTCGGCCCACATGAAGCCTAAGATCCCCATCAGACTTATCTTTTGGAGATCTGTGCATTGTAGTATGTCTATCCTGTACGATATGACTAAAATCTGCTTATAAGTGAGTATATACCATGATGTCTTTCTGGGTCTGGGTTAGCTCACTCACTTTTCTAGTTCCATCCATTTGCTTGGAAATTTTATGATTTCCTTGTTTTTAATGGCTGAGTTGTATTCCATTCTGTAAATGTACCCCAATTTCTGTATATATTCTTCAGTTGAAGGGGAATATAGGTTGTTTCCAGCTTCTAGCTATTACAAATAAAGCTGCTATGAACATGTTCGAGAAAATGCCCTTGTTGTATGGTCGAGCATCTTTTGGGTGTATGCCCAGGAGTGGTATAACTGAGTTATGAGGTATGGCTATTCCCAGTTTTCTGAGAAAACACCAGATTGATTTCAAAAGTGGTTGTACAAGTCTGCAATCCCACTCCTTTCTCCACATCCTTGTCAGCATGAGTTGTCACTTCAGGTTTTGATCTTAGCCATTCTGATAGGTGTAAGAAGAAATCTGAGTGTCATTTTGATTTGCATTTCCCTAATGTCTAAGAACATTGGGCATTTCTTTAAGAGTTTCTCCACCATTTGATATTCCTCTGTTGAGAATTCTGTTTGGTTCTGTACTCCCTTTATTATTTGGATTATTGGCTTTGTTGGTGTTTAATTTCTTGAGTTCTTTATTTATTCTGGATATTAGCCCTTTGTCAGATGTAGGGTTGATGAAGATCTTTCCCCAGTCTGTAGGCTGTCATTTTGTTCTGTTGACAGCATCCTTTGCTTTACAGAAGGTTTTCAGTTTCATGAGTTCTCACTTATTAATTGTTGATGTTAGAGCCTAATTGGTGTTGTGTTCAGGAAGTTCTCTCCTGTGCCAATGATTTCAAGGCTCTTCTCCCGTTTTTCTTCTAATAGATTCAGTGTGTCTGGTTTTACATTGAGGTCTTTGATCACTTGGACTTTAGTTTTGTGCAGGGTGATAAATATGGATCTATTTGCATTTTTCTACATGTACACATCAAGTTAGACCAGCACCATTTGTTGAAGATGAATTTTTTTCCATTGTATGGTTTTGGTTTCTTTGTCAAAAAATAGGTGTGTGTAGGTGTATGGGTTTATTTCTGGGTCTTTAATTCTATTCCTTTGGTCAACCATTCTATTTATATGCCAGTACCATGCACTTTTTTTTATTACTGTTACTCTGTAGTATACCTTGAAGTCAGGTATGGCGATACCTCCAGAAGTTTTATTATTGTATAGAATTGTTTTAGCTGCTCTGAATTTTTTGTTTTTCAATATAAAGTTTAGAATTATTCTGTCGAGGTCTGTGATAAACTGTGTTGTTATTTTGATGGGGATTGCATTGAATCTGGAGATTGTCTTTGGTAAAATGGCCATTTTTACAATGTTACTCCACTGACCCATGAGCATAGATGATCTTTCCATCTTCTGTTATCTTCTTCAGTTTCTTTCTTCAGAGTCTTAAAGTTCCTGTCATACCGGTCTTGACTTCCTTGGTTCGAGTTACCCCTAGATACTTTATATTATTTGTGGCTATTGTGAAGGGTACGGTTTCCCTAATTTCTTTCTCAGCCCATTTGTCAACTCGGAGCAGAAATCAATAAAGTAGAAACAAAGAGAGCAATACAGAAAATCAGCAAAACCAAGATTTGGTTCTCTGAGAAAATCAAGAAGATAGACAAACTCCTACCCAAACTAACTATAAGACAGAGAGACAGTACACAAATTAACAAAATCAGAAATAAAAAGGGTAAATAATAACAGACACTAAGGAGATCCAAAGAATCATTAGGTCTTACTTCAAAAGCATATATCCCACAAAACTGGAAATTCTAGAGGAAATGGGCAATTTTCTTGATAGATTTCACCTACCAAACTTAAATCAAGAGCAGGAAACTGTTTAAACAGCCCTATAACTTCTAAGAAAATAGAAGCAGCCATGAAAAGTCTATCAACCAATTTTATGAAAGAAGGGGGAAATACAAAGACCTGGAGGAGACAAGAACTCCAAAAGGAGACCAACAAAGCCAAAAAAAAAAAAAAAAAAAAAAAAAAAAACAACTGGGTCCTGCAGGCCCTGCAGACAGAGAACAGGGGCTGTTTCTGGCATGAACTCAGTGACAGGTTCTTTGATCTCCTCCCCCTGTGGGTGCAGCTTTGCCAGGCCACAGAGTAACACAATGCAACCAGTCCTGATGAGACCTGATAGGCCAGGGTCAAATAGAAGGGAAGGAAGACCTCTCCTAGCAGTAGACTAGGGGAGGGGCATAGAAGGAGAAGGAGGGAGGGGTGGATTGGGAGGACATGAAGGAGGGGGCCACAGCTGAGATACAAAGTGAATAAACTGTAATAAATAATTAATAA